ATCATTAGTAACAGCTGGTCCCGGAAATCCTGTTCACCACATAGTGAACAGTTTAATTTCCAGTAACCCAGCCAACCTAGCCTTAGGCTTATCTAAGTTTACACGGACCCGGACAAGCCTATAATCCGTATAAACTATATAGTGGAAACTTGTACACCCTAAGAGCCCTACATCGACTCTCCTAACTAAGACTCGGTCGAGGTAGCTAGCAAGCGTCTCAGGAACCGAGCTGCCACTATTTGTCCAAGTCCATGCTACCTCCCGAGGGTGTTCATTCCGGTACTTATCGACAAGATCAAACTCATCGATAAAGTCCCGAAATGGTTTCACGTCCGGTTTGTTAGTACCTTGTTTTTGCCCTATACGATCTATATCGGGGTCAAGGACGGCATTCCAATCCCCCTCTAAAACTACCCGACGAGATGTCGTCAAGTACGGCTCGATCTGCCGAAACAAAGCAGGCCGCTCGGCATGGTTATTGGGCGCATAAACCCCAATGAGACGTAGCGCCTTATCCTTTATAGTAACATCCAGCACGCAAAGCCTACCCACCGGAACTGCGAAGACAAGAGTACATGCAGCCTTCAAAGACCTGCTCACTAGCCAAGAGACACCCCTCGAACGACCATCAAAACATGCTGAATAAAGGGAGAATCCCTTAGACAGCAAGTCTTCACGGTCATGAGAAGAAAACCGGGTCTCTTGCACACAACAAACATTCACCCCGAGGCGCTGAAGGTCGCGAGAGAGACTCGCCCTGCGAGACTCCGACCTCAGGCCTCGGACATTTATACTAGCTAACCAGAGAGACATAGTGAAGACCGATTAGGGTTGAAGTACTGGTTTGAACATGGACGGGGTAAGGATACCGACCGCCTCTCCCAATTTAAGTGCTCTATATAAGGAGGGGTGAACTAAAACTGGGACAATCCCTGCACAAAATTGATTTAGATTTTTCAACTGTCCGTTCTGGGTGATTGCAATAGGCAACGTCATATTATATGAACTGATGGCCTCATCAAGCATAGCCCAAATCTGCTTAGCACCAGGTCCAGTTCTGATCACTGTCAGGACCCTTTGGGCAAGCGAGAAGTTTTGAGGTACTTCGATATCTTCGTCCGCAAACTGCCGTATTGAGATCAAATATTTAAGGTCTTTAATACGGTTTCCATAATTCCTGGCTCTCTCGGCCTGGGCAGGGGAAATACGACAAACATCTTCTCCTGTGTTGTAAATAGGCTTCTGTGTCTTCTTTTTATCTTTCAGTTCCTGTGAGGGGCTTCTTTGACGTTTGGAAGCGGGAGGTGGTATATGCGCTTTTTTAACAGGGGAATGACTGGGAGTATGCAGAGGTGTGCTTGGAGGGTTTATGTTTAACATGAGAAGTGGTGGGTGTGTTGAGGGGTGTGTAAAATGATCTATGTCTGTAAGGGCTGGGATCTTTATTGAGGGGAAGCGATTTGGAAGGAGTTATCTGGAGCGAGGGGATGGACTGGGTACAGGACGTGGAAGGAGTTGAATTTTGTGATTGAGAACTGTGCTGACTATCTAATTTCTTTTTAAACTCCTTAATTTTTTCCGTTTTTTCGAATCCGGGATCAAATTTCTTCTGTTTGTCTTGGAAAGACAGTTGAGAGGCCGGGGCATTGCCCTTGACGTTGCCAGAGGGAGTGGGGCTGTTAGTGTCTTTCGTCCTTGGGGCTTCAGGGGACTAGCTAAGCAATAGTATAGCGTAGACTGTCCTTCCATTTAGGCCTTATGCTGCATAATTTCTGTATTATTACAAAACTAAGTAATCAAATTGGGTTTCAGAAATACTGATCTAATCGCCTATTTCGTCAGTGATTGAAAGAGTAAGTGGGTGAATAATGCAATAATTATTTTCACTAAGGTAATATACTGCTTATATATAAAGTGTCACCAATGAATTATATACTGAGCCTGTTGTAACCAAGAGAGGGTTATTGAATGAGAAATAACCAAAACGGAAGTTGGAAAAGACATGGTAATCTTAATAACATCAACAAAATTCAATACTCGCCTGCGGCGTGAAGTAGGTAAACCACTGTTAGAGGTAGACTGCTTAGACATTATATTACCCCCACTTACAATAGTGTCCAACGTATTTATGAGGATTGGGACATAGCCTTTAGAGTTCACAGGTACAGCATATAACACCCCCTTTCTAGATTTACTCTGCACAGAGTTAATATGTTTTCCTTTTCCTGAATCCGTTCTTTTACTCTTACTTTATCTTTTTGGGATTTTGGTCTCAGGAGCTTTTTGAGGAATGAGCACATCAAATGTTTCAAAAAGAACTTCCATAGGCTCAATATCCACTGGAGTATCGCTCTCTTCATCTATATGCCTATTTTTGTTTGATTCAAGTGCCTTTTGTCCACCATTTTCGATCTTTTGACTAAATATATCATCATACAGACTCTTTTGATGATAGTTACAACTACCCATTATCTTTTACCCGTTTAATACATTCGGTAAAAAACCCTTTCACCCACTACGTAAAATTTATTTCCAGTTTTTTGTACCGTATGTTCGACTATTTTCTTATTCGGTGTCAGCTTATCAAAGACCAATTTTATTTTCCGCACAAACATAATTTCTGTCAGAGCCATGGCCGAAGGTGCATTTTTGTTTGATATATGCTGATACACTTGTAGAAACTATTGCAATGCTGCATACGTGGACTCTCCGTTGGATTTTTTACAGCCCTCTTAAAGGTATCCACAACTGCCTGGCCGTTGCTTCTAGGGTGGTAAGGGGCAACTGTTATGTGTTCTACCACAAACATTTTACAAAATCCCTTGAATTCTTTTTATATAAATTGGGTGAAACAATAGAATCTGGTACCTCGCGAATCTCGCGAACAGTTCGTGTAGAAACCCAATTACGTGGTTGGTTTCTTACACCTCAATATCTCTGGCCACTTGGAATAACTGTCTACAATGATAAAATAATATGAACCATTAAGTGGACAAGCAAAGTCAGTATGCAGACGTGGCCATGGGTTGAACTTTATTGGTGGTGCTTTAGCAGTGCTTTAACTGCCAAAGAACAGCCCTTGCATGACTTTACCAAACATTCAATATCTCTATCCATGCTACGCCAGTATACGTAACTTCTCATTATGCTATTCTTTCTGGATATACCAGGGTGTCCTGTATGGAATTTTTTGAAGTTATTTTATTCTCATTGAAGATTTTTTGTTACATGATAATCTATTAATTCTAGTGTTTACAATGTTATAGATTTGTCTCACTATTGAATTTGGGTGATTGGAGTTGATATTACTATAAATAGGAGTTTAACTGTCCTTGTGATTAAATGTGCTTGCTTAAATGTGTTGTTAGAAAGATTAAAAGTGATATCTAAGAAATTAATTATTTTAAGGTTAAATGCGATTTCAAATTTAAATATATATTTGAAAGCTCTTATAATGTTCTTCAAGATTCCAGAAGATAGTGGACCATTACTATCTTGGATGAAAATAAGTCAAGAATTCTTTCTGTAGTGATAAAAGTATTCATTTCTGTAGTGATAAACGTACCACTACTTTTTCGCTGTACATAAGAACATCATTGCAAATTGAATATACCTCGGATTCTGTCTTTTAGCTTTTTCTTCATTTCCGCAATAAAATTGTCATTCAACGCTTTATTTTTTTTATTTCTCCCAAGTCGCAGGTAGTTCCCTCACAGTATCTCTACTTCCGCTTGTAGCAAAGCAATGACCAAAGGTTCACTACTTTTTGGGATAAGTCTGGACAACCCATCCGCGTGATTCAATTTACTTGATGGCATGAATTCCATCCTGAAATCGTAATTCAATAAGATGGTTCCCCATTATTGTATCCTATTAGCTTTATATATATATATATATATATATATATATATATATATATATATATATATATATATATATATATATATATATATAGTTGATATAATATATATCTTATATAGAGAGATAGATCTTCCTTATATGATATAATATAGTTATGTTGCTAAAAGAACAAATATTTGCAATGTTATTGTCATATTTAACTTTCTTATTAATATTAATTTTGTTTCTATTGAAAAATTTCCTTTTTTAATCTACCATTTTGTTTACTAAATAATAGTAATAGTTTAATAGTCTTACATATTGTTTTATTTTAAATATCATAGCGCAATGCGTCTTTTGAAATATTCCCTTTATCATTTTTGATAACTGCCGATGTTTTGGTTCCTGTTTAGTTCTCAATCTTGTACAAGTAAGATTTTCTGTTTTTTTCTTCCTTCATATCCATAGAGTCGTATATTTTTCTGTGCGATTGGAGATTATATTTTTTTGCTATTAAATAATAACAGAAGATACTCTCCCATCGGTTCGTGTTTTAAGAGTTTTTATTCATTATATTAACACATGCGTCATTGGTTGATATTTTTATTAAATAACTTGAAGTTACTTCTGGATATTATTTCTTTCATTATTGCTATCATTATCATCAATATCATTATTACTAATGTAATATCCAAAAATGTCTTTATAAATTCAAATTTCATAATTTTCGTTTCATTCGTTCTCAAATGTAAATTTTGGTTCATACTTTAATGAAAGTCAACCAGTTATATTCCTATTTTTTTACACTTTTCAAAGCATTTGTGCATCTTCATTCAGTCTCTTTAAATGTTTTCTTTGTCAATTTAAGATTGTCACTCGTGTTGTGGCCTTCGTGAAGAGACCGTAATTCTCAAATTCCCAGGTTCTCTATTTCCAAAATTTACAAATAATTCTTCAAAACTATATTTTACAATTCGTTTAAGCGGATAATATTTTCAGTTTTAGCAAGTGATGAGATTAATAACGTAAATATGCTAATCTGTTTATATTGTTTTATGATTTAGAAGAAGTTAAATTAAATAATCTAAATACAATACAATTATTTATTATCTTTGTTTGGACTGACAATAAATTCAGATTTTTCTTTTTCTTTCATATAGATCTGATGCGTTGAATTATCTTTTAAAAACGACAAAATATGAAAAAGCCTTCCCTCCTGAATTTAATTACGGTAAGTAATCTTAATAATAATCCATGTTGAAACGGTCTCTCTCCATGGGGATGTTTTCTGACTCTGATAATCGGAATTCTTTCATTTTAATTCTCATATTCTTCAAACTACAATACAGCCACTCCACCTTTAACGACTGGGTTCCGATCCAACGACCTGATCGCTAAACAAGCTGACCAGTTATCTGACCACTCTTTCAGATATACTACGCGTGTAATATGTTTGGGCCAACCAACATCTTCTTCTTCTTCTTCTTCTTCTTCTTCTTCTTCTTCTTCTTTGTGTCGTGTCACTTCAGGACGCTGGCGATCATGACTCTCCACAATTTCATGTCCTTTGTAACTCTTAATAAAAGTTGTATTTTTGTTACCTCTCCCAAACCTTGTTCCGCCATCCATTTGCTAGGTAGGTTATGCGTTATTTTCTATCCTTCTTGTTTCAATATGTCCTATGAGTATCAAATTTTCCAAGCCCTCTAACCTCATTATGTGCCTAAGAATTTTTAACTGTCTCTTCCGGATGTTAAGTATAAATGTCCTTTTTGTTTTCCATTTTCTCTAAAGCTTCGTCTTTTATTACATGCTTAGTCCATGGTATTCTGAGCATCGTTCTGCTTCAAGTTACTTTTTCATCTGTGAGGAGATTGTCCAGCATTCACTGCCATAGAGAAAGATTGATATTACATAACAGTTCAGTACTCTTTTCTTTATCTCTAACAAAATTTTCCTGTTTATTAATACTTAGCTTTGGAAGTCCTCTTTCGCTATCCCAATTCACCTTCGAAGTTTGGTGTCGCACTTCCCGTCCTCTGTTAAAACACTTCCTAGATATTTACATCTTTGTACTTGCTTGATTTTCCAATTTACAGTTCGCATGATGGGTTGTTCCTTTGGTTGACAATTATACATTCTGTCTTCTTACAATTGATGTTTAGTCCTTTCTTCTCTCTTTCCTTCACTACCTTCTGTAGTTTTTGTAATTTCCTTTCGATGTCTGCTATCAACAGTCTGCACATCTTATTTGGTTAAGATAATGAATCCTGGTACGACTTCAAATTCTCTCAGAAACGCCTCAGTGTATGAGAAGAGACATCGTTGCCTTACATCCTTATCTATTTTAGAACATTTACTGAACTTATTTTGCTGCCAGTATTGGTTCTGGATTATTCTAATATTCTTCCGAAATATGTCACGGTTACCGAGCATTTCCAATAGTTCTTACTTTATCACGTACTTTATCAAAAGCATTAGCATAATCTATAAAACACTGGTACATATCCTTCTTAATGTGCATTGCTCTTTCTGATATCATCTGGGCATGAATATTGCATTATTTGTTCCAGTGTCTTTAATAGGCTTGGACTGCTGTTGTCCTATTTCAGGTTGGATACTGCTCTATTCATCATAATTCGAAAGATAAATTTTGTTATATGGCTCATTAGACTGATTGTTCGATGGAGATCTCAACCGTTTGCACCTGGCTTCTTAGACAGTTCTATGAAACTAGATCTACTTAGGTGTTGTAGATTTCATTTATTATGTCTGTAATCTTGTCTATGCAGAAATCTGCTAAGGCTGCATGCATCTCCATTGCAATTCCGTCTGGTCCTGCTACTTTGTTTCTGTTCAATTTGGCCATTGCTGATTCTACTTCAAATTTTAATATTTCTGGTCCTTCGATATTTCTGTATATTGTCGGTTGTCCTCTTTCGTCGTGGAAGAGGTCTCCGATGTATTCGCTCCATCTCTGAAGTATTTTTCTTTCTCCAAAATATCAATGTCTCGTCCTTGAATTTTATACATCCTGTTGATGAGCATGTCTGTTGTCCTGATAGTTCTCTTATTTTTATGTATATCTGCTTTATCTGTGATACTCATCTTTCTATTTCTGCACATTTTGCATGGAGTTGTGCCTGCCTGCATTTTTTCCTAATCTTTTGTATAGAGTCTTATATTCTGTGCCGTACCTTGGTTTTGATTTTTGTCGCCTTTTCATCATGTCGAGAATTTTCATCTATCATCCATTCCTTTTTCCCTTGTCTATTTTTCTTTAGGATGATCTCAATTGCTGATGCTACTAAAGCTTCTCTTAATGTGTACCACCTGGAGTTTCCATTCTCATTTTCTCCATTGTATATGCTTTTAATCCATATATTCTCCTTCACAATGAGGTCATTCAGGAATGGGCACTTGGGTACGTTTTCAGTGTAAAACTATTCCTGAATCTCTTATTGAATTCAACGTGTTGTGAAGTGCATTTATAGAATTGTCTAAAATTTGACTTATTGAACTAACCTAATTTATCATAAAGCTACTTATCGTGAAATTCCAATTACTTTTTCTGAATGAGCCTATTCTATTGTTAATAGACTCTCCCACCTATAATAAGTAGGAGTAGTAGCTAAGTCGCTGAGCGAGTTGGTCAGTCAGTCGATGTCGGACGACCGTTAGTCGGATACTAAAAGTATCACCGACCACCACTAGATTTCTCTGCGTCATTACCTATTATATTTTTGTACGTCGAACCTATTTTAGGACCGACTTAGTGAAATACAAGCCTCTACTGTGAAACTACTCTACAACAGCCTTGTACAACGAGCAAGTGATATCCAAGATTTCATATTTGATATAATGTCACCCAAGCACCAAAAATATCAAAACATTGATTTTTAAGTCAAATATCAAAATAGTTTACCATCAGTTTAAACGGCAAAAATTCAAAGGATAATGACGTAACCATGTGATTCCAAATAACATTTTACAATTAATTGCGTGTGCGTGAGAGAGAGTGTGTGTGTGTGTGTGTGTGTGTGTGTGTGTGTGTGTGTGTGTGTGTGTGTGTGTGTGTGTGTGTGTGTGTGTGTGTGTGTGTGTGTGTGTGTGTGTGTGAAAAAAATTCAATTACTAAGGGAAAAGAACGAACTTCAACATGCTGGGAAGAAAATAGCGATAAGAGGATTAAGACAGGAAGTAAAATTTTTTTTTGTAGTGCTTGAAAGAAAATCTCTAACGACTTACAGAAACTGGTAAAGCTGAAGAAAGGGATAACCCATAAAGTAAAAAAAAAGACATAAAGCCTGTAATAAAACAGATTATAAAACAAATGGATGTTCGTCGAAATGATGATCATCAACTCATTAATAATCTGTTATATTGCTCATTCTATGACGCATAGACAATCCGGGTTTTTGTAATCCATAAATGATTGCTAATGAACTTAATTAAATTAATCAATCTTCTACGCTACCTTTTGTGAGTTTTCTCGGTTGTTACTGTTCTTAATTTTTCACACCTGCTTAGTTTTAAACCAACTCAACTAATATGCCATCGATTATCGATGTCCTTTTTAAATTTGGATCTGTTTTCATTTCAGATAAACCAACAGAGATCACATGTCAAATTATGATTGATAGTATAGACTCAATTAATGAAGCTACAATGGTAAGTCGTGTAATATGTTTATTAATATTAATATGTCTATTTTGTGAAAACAAATAATTCGAGAGTTTTCTTTTAAATAAATGCGAGGACCTGTTGAATAGTTCTTGGACCAACCATCCCCAAAAGATATGTTATCTTGTAATTTACGAATGAGTCAAGCCAATAACTTTTTAGCAACCATCATGCTTAAAATAGTTTATATTTCAAAATTATATTTAAAAAAAACTAACTTGTGAGATCTCCTCAAAATTGGTGAACAAACAAGAGGCTTTTATTTTACTTTTGTATTTGCCTCTACTTCATCGTTTCTATAAGATTATTACTTTCGTTTAAAGGTTTTACTAATTTAACTAGACCCTGCCATATTTATGGTGCCAGCGAGGTTCCTAATCTTCTCATTATAACAATTCCGAATATAAGAACAGTGTAGAATTTCTGGAATCTAGTAAAAGAGGAATAACATCATTCACAGCTATTTTGTTTCAATGTAGACATTGAAAATTACGCCTGTGTGACCTTTTCAAGGGGGAATGAAAAATAGGTTTGATTTATTTAAATGAAAACTTAAAACATTCATTCTGTTAAAAAGAAAAGGTAATATTGCTATTTTCAATCTTAATTTTACTGATATTTATCGTTTTGTTTCAATAGCTTCAAACCTTCTTTCACGTAACTTTAAAATTCTTTTCTCCTATAAAGTTACCTTTTTCAGCAGAACTGCTTTTGGTCTCTTTTACAGTCTCCGCTGGAACAAATATTTTTCCCATTAAGAGAATTCTGTAAACACCAGAATAAATTCGTAATATGAACGAAAATTTCTCAACCAAGCCACAACAAAGAGGTCATCAAAAAGCATGCCATTTTATCCAGATGAAATATCACTACGTTTTTGCTTTTACTAAGAGAAAAGTTACCTTCTATATAAATAATAAAACTCAGTGTTTCCCAGAAGTAGCTTACCCATCTATCCTACTGCCTTCAAGGGCTTATTATTTTCTTATTGTACAACCTGCTTCCATCGTTCTTCCAACATAATGAAACACACTTGCTCTTTGATCTACAGTATTCAAGAAAAGAATGACCCCTGTTATAGACAAGCGTATGGTTGCAAGAAAGAAATACGACAACAGTAGAAATAGATTTACGTGGTTTATTTCAACAGGAACATGAGGGCTTGGGACAGCTACCTTGTGGTAAAGTTCATAAGCCGGCTTTCGGATCTGGTCGATCTCTCATAGTAGTTCACACATGTTGACGGTGGTTGACGCTCCCCTGCTGCTGATCACTCGGCCTGACCGTCAGGTCTGTTCGCTGGCCACCTGTTGACTGCCTCTTGAACTTCCGTGTGACCCCTTTTATAGCGTTTTTTAATGGCTTAACAGGCTCGAGAAACGAAGCGAGTATAATTAGGAAGGAAGCATTTTTATTGGACGAAAAATAGAGCACTTTAAATATTTTATTTTTCGACCGGAACACGTGTGTCGGAAACATTTGTAAAGAAAGATAATGGTCATTTTGTGACGGGGCTTTGTCCCGTTCACATCCGGTTCTCACTCTTGAGTATTTGCCTGTAAATCAGCCGAGATATGTCTTATTTTATTTTATAACACCCCCTTTCATTGATACAAAATCCAGTTCTGACGCTTGAAGGGTCTTTGAAGTCACTACTGGCGATGCACCTTGCTTAACATAAATACTATGACTGACTTCCAACTATGCAACTGCAACAAGGATCGATGTGCTGTATGTTGTAATGCATTCTTTTCTTCATCTTGATTAATGCTACCTTCTTTTTGTGCCATAGTATTTTTATGGCCATTACTAAGTGGAAAGCCACCGTTCACATTTCGTATCGATAAATCTTGGTCACTAATTGCTTTGTTGACGCTTTGATGATTTTTCTTACTTGGTTCACTGCCAATAGGTACTCAGTAGAACAGAACTTGAGCACCACGTAAACCGTGCCATTCTGGAAATGCACTAACCTAGTCTTCTGGTCATAACAATTTGACCTTTATTAAAAATTAGGCCATTATCTCTTCATGCTTATAACTGCGATATTCTACACATCAAAATATGATAAGCAAACCAAGTCATTGAAAATTAAGCGATAACGTAAGGAAAATTTTTGACATAAAGAAGCGATTAAATAGCGAAATACGTAATGCCTTTATATAAATTAAATAACAGTCGCCTTTCATAAAGTAAATAACAGTCGACTGAATGCCAATAGTCTACTGCAGACATAATGTTAAACATTGACACGAAAACTGAAAATCTCTGGAACAATCAGTCGTTTTCGCTTTGTTTGATGCGGAGCTGGGCTGACATGAAAACATTAAGTTTGACTGCTTAAAGTATAATACTGCTGAACTTTTCAACAGCGACAGACACGAACTCATATCTGTCAGACATGGAAAGGTATTTAATTAATTTATACTCGTTAACCACTAGGGTAACAAAACTGGGCAAAGTACTCAATGCAATCAGATAGTTGATTTGGACGACGCAACAGGAGGAAGTCTTCCGAGGCATCCGTCTTTGAGCATCAGCTCAAGATGAAGATTAGAACTGATAGAAAACGACTGCATTCGACAGTCTTCAGCGAAAGGTAGGTGACTGAGGCGAGCTTGGTTCGTTTGAACAGGGCTAGCCTTGATTTTCTCTTTTAGGTTAACCTACGTCACATCGGGGTGGTTTCCTGTGGAGCCTTCCCCTGGTTAGGCTAGACAAGCTTTGTGTACCTAGTTAATGTGAGTAAGTGTTGTTCCCAGTCTGTTCCTGGGCACTTCTTTGGTTATGATCCAGCTTGAGATTCCCAACCTCCACAGTTTGTTTTAAAATTTTTTTTTAATCTCGACTGGGTCATTTTTTATTTCCCATGTCCGTCTATATTTTCATTTTTTCCCCTCCCTTAGCGAGAGATTGAAAAAATTTTGTCCAATGGTCAGAATACAGCGGCCTCTTCTTTTTGAATTTGGACGGGCCCTACTAACATCAGTTATGTTTAATTTGATTTGTGTTAATATTTTAGTTTGTTATGGGGGTTTTCTCCCTCCCCTCTAATTTTTTCATCATAGATTTTTATATATATTTTACTATCATTAAATTTTTATGTCATGGGGCGCGTTTTTTAGGTCTCCCTAGAGAGCATGTGGTATTATGGTGTATGGAGGATTGATTGGTGAGTTCTTGTGGTGAATGTGGAAATTGTAATGTATGAATTGGTCGTGAATCGGATTAGCTAGGTATAGGATAGTTAGTTAAGACCAGCCTCAACCCCTCCCCTATTTCGGCCTTGTGCCATAATTGTATTTTTTGATACAATAAATACCGTTGTGACTGGTTCAGGGTTCTGTCTGGTCACACTCTTTATTTAACCTCACGATGCTGGAGGCATTTATATCGGTCCATGCAAGTTTCCTGTGTAAACAGCGTGAATGTTTGTTGGAGCTCGCTGTTATTTGTCTCTAGCTCCTTGTGTTCATTTTTTTCCTCCCCATTTCTTTTTCATTGCACATTTTCTAGTGTTTTTAATTTAAGTTAAATCTCCCATGGAAGCCTGAAGAGCGGGAGCGAAACCGTTTGCTTCGTTTTTAATATGTCTAGTAATATTAAACTTCGCACTTTTATTTCTGTGATTAAATTTTTTACCTACATTGTGGGATGAGATCACTGTTAAATTGGCTGACCTTTTAGATCTTGCTCTTGCTTCTTGAAGACGATTCAGACAAACTGCTGATTCCACTAAAACACGTTGATCTCCATTCTACCCGCTCCAAGGCTAAGCGCTCAAGTGTGTTATGTGGTATATTGACAGCTGACAAGTTGCTCTTCAGCTTATCTTTGCATCTTAGCCATGGGTGTCCTAGTTTCCTGTAGCCCTGATCTAACTGGCTGTACATTAGGATCTTGGGTATCCTGCCATCAGACATTCTCAAGACATGACTAGTCCATCGTAACAGAGACTGTATGAGAAAAGTCTTGATTCCTCCAATATTACACCTGTTAAACAGGTCTACGTTAATGTCATATCTTGAAGGTTATTTCAACAGATTGCACGCAGACAGTTTTTATGGAAAACATCCAGCTGGTGTATATGGCACTTGTACGGAGTCCACAACTCTGAGCCGTAGAAAAGGATGGCATACGAAAATTCGACTGGATACAAAAATTCGGGTTTACAGAGCGTAAACCCGAATTTTCGTACCCCGCTCATTCCACATGCAATGGCAACGTTTGCGGAAATTACCGGGTAACCTTAGCAATCCGATGCATGATTTCATCATCTAAAGTTCCACTGTAGTTGACTTTGCTACCAAGATAAGTGAAAGATTTTACATAGTTCAGGGCTTTTCTTCTACTTTCAATGGTTATCTCTGGAAATTTTGATTAATTGGTTTTTGTTTCTCACCACAGAATTGCTAATTTAGGACAAGATTGGTACACAACTTCAGTTTTCTTTATGCTAACAGAGAAACGATTTATTAGATGTTGGGCCTCCTCAAAGGATGTCGCAAAAAGAGTAACAGCATCAGCAAACAACAAATCACGAATAATTTGCGTACGAAGAATTAGCATATTAGTAACTTGACTACTTGAGAGAAAAAATTGTTATCAGCAGAACCATATGTTTAAATGCAATGTAATATGTTTGACTCATTTGAAATGTAATTTTGTCATAGAACCACATTAGGAAATTTATGACCTGCGTCTCCTATTCTGCGACCGTTATTGTCTCATAGCAAACTTCTATTGAAACAAAAAGTATATCATTTTTACGGTGAACATCGCTGTTGTAATGTTCATATAACCGCTCTAATGATGACTCATGTTAGCCGAAAGCTTAGATCGACGACAAATATAATAAAGAAATGTTGAACAATTTTTGCCTATTTTCTCTTGAAACTAATACCATTATACGACTCTTGTAAAGGCTCATGATAAAACATAATAGACATGTGTTGTCAAATAAATATCATTAAATATAACAGACAACAAATAAGTCATATTTAGCCTCTTTTTCATTTTGCTTTTCTGCCTCAAGGCCAGCGCTCTTTCCATTTCTTCATTTTCAAGGCCCGCACTTTCCTACTTTTTCACTTTCAGCGATCTCTACTTTCAAGCCCATTTCGAAGGGCTACACACAGCTTTTGCTGAAGAAGACGAGGCCTGTCCTGGCAGCTGGACGTCAGATTTCTCGTTCCTCCCGTGGGAACTAGGGGAGAAATCTCTCTCAACAAAAACTACTCAAGAAATTTGTTAACCCATTTTTTCCAGCAAAATACTACTATTTTGCCCTCTCTTTCACCAAAAAGAAAAGCTATTGAACAGTTATTTCAAGCTCTGGGTTTTTGTTCATTCAATGCCGAGCACACACACATGTGCAACCAGGACAAATTTCTTACAACCTCGGATACAAAACAACCTAGCCTAGAATAGCACCGGGTATACCGTAGATTGTTACACCTCGAATAGGAATTACTTTTTTTCTATCAGAGTAAGATAATGGTAGATTATCTTTATATGGTTGTAGGACTACAATAACCCTGCCACTGGATTATAATATACGCGGTAGTTGGTGATCACCAGTTTGTAGCGGCAAGTGTTACAACAGAAATGTTGAAAACTTTCAAAGTTAACAAATTCGATTTTTTCGATAGAAATGAATTCAACAAGTGCACGATTTTATCGATATTTATAAATAACAACAAAAGTCATAAAAAAAAGAGAAAGGGAAATTATATCTACAAGGATGCAGCTAGCTCAAAGAAAAGGAAAAAAAAACGTTCATGGCATTATGTGATAGTATTGCGTGTCTATGTATGCGCATATATATATATATATATATATATATATATATATATATATATATATATATATATATATATCTTCTTTATATACATAGATTAAATAATCTGTTGAAACCATCTTCTCATATTTCTTGAAACTATTTATTTCAGAATTCGTGGTTAAATAAAATTAAAAGATTTTGTAATTTGTGATTAGAAATTCATTTATTCTCCCATATTATTTTTTGTTTTCTTGTACCACTAGGATTTCACACTGAGCATGTTTCTTTATCAGCGATGGACAGAACATCGTCTGATTTTACAAACAATCGTTAATGTCACCTACCTTGAATTGGATGCAAATGCCATCGGAAAGATCTGGGTTCCAGACTTGTACTTTCCTAATGAGAAGCGATCCAATTTCCACGACGTCACTATGCCAAACAGGATGCTGCGAATATATGAAACAGGAGAAATCCTTTTCACCCTTCGGTAAGAGAAATTATTTATCTTTTATCTATTGATTTTAGTAGTTGAAAATTTACTTAGTAGTTTGAAAATCGAAGAGGATTCACAATTTTTCCTGAATGATAGTCACTTAATATCATTAAGAAATTACACATGAGTTCCTTCCCTACATTTTTTTAAGAACAGTTAAATGTATTAGAATCCCTTATAGTATGTAGGATTATTTTTACATCAAGTATGCGTATGTATATTAGGTTACATTTTTTATTTTATTTTATTTTATTTTATATTATTTAAGTAAAATTTATGACAATGACGTCAAAAATAGTTATTTAATTTCACTGATTTAGTAAATTTTTTATTTTTTATATATATAAACCTAGTAATATATTGTTTCTCATGTAAAGTACAAAGGACATGGGTCATTCAAAAGCTTACATCTTCTGGCATTTCATATTAATTTTATTTTACTATAGGTGTTTTATTGGATTCTTTTTAAGTGCGTGTAGTTTTTCAGTATAACTGAATGTAAAAAAATATAGTATAATAAAAATTAAAAATGAGAATATTTCAAATCGTAGTTAAAAAAAAAAGTATTCTAATCTGAACACCCGCGAAAATATATTTAAATTTACAAATAGAAAAAAATTCCGTAAGAATTTTTTTGCCGTTAATAATAAATTAAAAAAAAAATCCAGACGACATGCATTCAACAACGGATGTCAGTTTTCATTGAAAAATACATCCCTACCCCTTGCCAAAATGTAGCTAATAAGCGATACAATGATACAGACATAAGGAAAACCCAGACACCCCTTGTCCAGTTGAAGTAGATTTATCTGTAAGCATGGAAACGTGATTTTAGCCGTGTCTTTAAAACCCAGTAATTTTAAAAGTTACTCCAAAATTCGCATGAGGATGAACTAATGTCTTTAATTTAATTGCAAAATTAAATTCGATTTTAGCTTCCATTTTTGAAACATGGTTAGAACTGTGTAGCGGAAAAAACCATATTTTAAATCAATTAATTTATAATATTGCTCTATAAATTTACATCAAGCACTATTTTGTAAAAATAAAAATATCTATAAGAACACCGGATTATATATCTTACTGTTCTTTCTTTATATATATATATATATATATATATATATATATATATATATATATATATATATATATATAAATACGAGCTATTAATGCATTAATACTAGCAAATAATATATGTAACAATACATAATTTAACGTCACATTTAATAGAAATTCTGACAATAAAATGCTCAATATAGACTAGAGCAATAATAATAATTAAATTAGAAGTAAAATGTTTCAATACAGACAACTTAACCCCTCTGAAGATGGTCCCAGATGAGATTGAAAGTACTTGGGAAAATAAAAAATATTTGATATTTTTCTTAATCAATTTTCTAAGGCTAACAAGAAATTAATCCACGAAATTGAAAGGATCACAACGAAAACTAATCGACATGATATGTCTAAATTATATATTGGAAAACAATATATTCATTTTTATATATCATGTATACGGCCAGTATAGGCTGCATCCTAGGACTACTCAAGCTTTTATAAAGCAATGATTTTAACTCTCTCGATGTTATAACTTCTAAATAGTTTCATCAATATGACAAACTCATATCTATTTTGATAGGTTTATTGTTATAATGCTGATTATAAAAAAAAATTGGGTTATTTTTATTATGGTTGTATTGCAATAAGTAGTAAAATAGTGACATTTCTTAAAGAATGTTTTTATTGGAAAACATTCTAGTTTATTTAAAGAATTTTCAAAAAGTTTACTTATGCGAATATTGCTAAAAAAATATATATCATCAGTAAAAATAAATTCAAGACGGGTGCGAGTAATTTAGCGGATGTGAGTGTTTGTACATATATATTTGTGTGTGTGTGTGTGTGTGTGTGTGTGTGTGTGTATAAGAGTAAGGGATGATAACCGGTCACCCATTTTTATTTTTAAATATTTTTTCGATTTACCTCTTTACGATAATTATACAATGTATTTATAACTTTTCGCTCTTTGTTTCCTTATTACATTTTTCACTATGCCCGTTTTTGCTGCAATAATAATTTTTTGTAGCCCAGTAAAATATATAATAATTTTTAAATGTAAATCATAATTTCATTTTGACTGAATTATATTTAAATTGGTATTCAGGCGTTAATCGATATAAATTGAACATTTGTTTCTGAATATATACATGGTAGACATTTTCATAGAAAACAAACCCTGCATGCATCCATTTTCTACATTACATTTTTAATGTAAGAAAATATTTCTGTTCATAAAAGTAAGTTATATTAGTTCATCTGAATGTGAAATTAGGATTCATGTCTTAATGCCAATGAGGGGAAACTCGCTGGTTTGAGGCTATTCAATGTGCAGGATACAATTGTACGATATAATAAAATTTTAATAAGATAATTTATCGTAACTACTGGAGGCTCTGTAATAGTGTGTTAAATAAGAGTATGTTCTCTTCACTCAGTTTGAGGTGTTAACATCTGCTAATAAAGCAGAACGTTTTGCTCGTAAATTCTCAAGTTCTTGGCTCATCTGGAATGTTTTTGCCTGACTTTCCACTTAGATCTACGTTTCTATTGAGTGATGTACATATAACACTGTCCATGGTTCCTGCTATTATCTCTAAACGGGATCCCCACAAAGTACGTGGATTTGATGTTATACCTGAAATAATTATGTGCTTCTGAACTAACTCCTGATCTCTTTAAACTTGACTTATTTCTTGCTTTCCTGTTTGTTGGAAATCCTCTTCTGTAGTTCCAGTCTTTAAGAATTCAGGCGAACCGTTTGATTCTTCTAACTATCGGCTTATTTTTGGCTTTAATCAACTCTGGATTGGCTAAATATATATCACACACTTGCTTCTAACGTACAAATTCAAGCCTAGAAGCTTCCAGTTCCCCCAAAACCTACTCCTGTTACCCATTCACTATTACCGTTTGGTTTGGCAAGAGTTAGTTGACAATGAAAGAAAATCAGAGTCGAAGAAAGTGCCAATGGCGTGATTTGTTTGCCAGGAAGTGACCCACACACTTGATTCCATGACCTTCCTCTGCGGCACATATGTAATGAGGCGTGCAGGATTCAGTTATGAAACTTCACCGGACTGACGCTGACTCTGTTATAATTTCGAGTGGTACCTTCTGTAACATGTCCATCATGCGTACTCCTCTTGTAATCATCATCTGCTTGTTCCACCGTTGGGTTTTTGAGGGCTGATTGCACTTAGTTTGGGTCCTCATCTTCGAACCTGCTGCAACGGGTCCACCTACCAAGAGTTTAGAACCTAACGGCATCGCTCTCAGAGTCATTAGACCACGTAAGCCTCTCCACCACGACAAGGAGAGAACATCAGAGGATGACACGCAAATTTGTAAAACGTTCCATATTTGTATCTATTTGGATATTCAAAATATATATATATATACGAACAGAGAAACATACACGCATAAACACACATATATTTTACACTGGATGTTGGAGTAACAGTTCGTCATTAAATGTACCACTTATTATTATTACTTTAAATAACAATAATAGAAATCAATTAATAAATAAGTACAGAATAAAAGTATAAAATTATCATCAAATATATGAAAACAGTTTTTTTTATTGTTTTTAGAAATATTTGAAAGGTAAATAATAGAGGAAGAAATTGACTATTATGAACCAATAGTAAACAAAAAAACAAAATAACTTCACGATTTGAAACGCTTTTCTTATAAATTTGAAAATACGTCCTTGTCCATAAAAATGTTAATCAATAAATAGGAAAAGGATAAAAGAAAAAAAATTATCGGTAAATGTTAAAAATGTTTGGATTATAAATGACTGGGAAAAATCGACGATACTGAAACTACAACATTACGACATGAAATGTTTTTTCTATAATTTCTAAAATTACGTCCTCTTTTACTTTCATTAAAAATAGAAATGTTACGCTTAAATATAAAGTATAGAATTATTCATGCCAATGTATAAGTAATTTAACTAATACAATGTATTAAATGTTCTTAATATAATAATTTTTAGAGATAACAGACATTCTTAATAAAGTAAACTTACTAAATGACACTTATTTTAAAAATAAAACAAGCGAATTATCTTATAAGCAAATATGTATATTAATAATTAAGATTTATTTTATTTAGTTTATTTATTTAGTTTATTTATTTATTTATTTATTGACTTGGTTGGTGTGCAAGAAATCGTTATATATTTCTACTAAAGCTATCTAATTTTTAAATGTTTTCTTTAATGCTAGTTCAAAAAAAGTTTCACGTTAAATTTAGCCGTAGGCAGACAAGTGGATGAACAAGTCTTCTCGTGCTTCATGAGAGAGATATTAATCGGTTGATAATCAGTAACATAATTACTCTCACTAAAGATAAGGTAAAAAATAAGGGTAAACTATCAAAATGTTTATATGGTCAATTATTGATTATCAGCGGTGCAACTATTTTTCATACAGCAAAAATTGTTTCTATATCAACTCTAAAATATGTCAGTATCTTGTAGATATATAAGTTTGTTGCTGTTGATAAGTATATTTTTTATATCTTTGCCTTTTCAGGATAACCCTAACATTAACTTGCAAGATGGATTTGAGAAATTTTCCATTTGACAAGCAAGTGTGTTACATACAAATAGCCAGTTGTAAGTATACGAAAATGTCTTAACACATCAATTCTTGACAAGTCAAATCTATTTTGCATATACTTTTGTTAAATAAATATAACAAAGGAGATATTTATATCGTACCTAGCATTATCTAATTAATAACTGTTATGGGAAAGATTTTTTTTATAATTATTAGGGTTTTACTAGTTTCTCTTCAAAGCTTCGTAAAGTCTTACATATTTTCCTAAGTTTATACGCTTACGCTTGACTACTATTATTACTAAAATGGCGATAAAAATTGATGAGATTATTTATATATAATCGACACTCGAAAGCAAGAGTTACTCTTCGGCCCTCTGCCTAGGATCAGTTTAGTTTCTGGTCAGTCTACAAAATGTCGTACTACTATATATATATATATATATATATATATATATATATATATATATATATATAGTTTTAATGTATGCTATATCTATGGGTAAATAAGCACAATATCAGAGATAGAGCGTACGTAAATATAAAAGTGGACACTAAGTTTAACACCAAGATGGCCTGATGATTGAGTTGAAGCATAAAATATACACATGTTGTTGTTATATAAGAATAAAGTATCGCTGCTGACACTGGAGTTTGAACACAGATCACCAGAGAGCAAACACAAGCGATCCCATTTTGAATAAGTAGATCACGTGATGGTAAAGGAAATGTATACATGAGAATTGGCGTCTAAGTGATCAAATTCGGATTAGAGATCACTCTTTCTATTCTCACGTTGTCTCGGTTTTTGGCCTGAAGTGACCTAATTTTGACCGAAGTCTGTGTGCTAGAAGGAACCTGTTTGATTTTTTTAAAATTACGAACTTTCTTCGTCCTGCAAGACATTTGTTTAGTTTATTTAATTTATTTTTCCTTCTTTCATTTATTATTTTTTATTTATTTTTTGGTTTTTCTCTTCATGTCAGTCTTTTTTCTGCATTTTTGAATTATTTTTTGCACTATAATTTATAGTTTATTTTAATTTTGACTTAACGTGTTAAAAAAAAAAAAAGTCCATTTTTTGATTTTGAAACGTTTATTTTGTCTTTCTTGTCGAACTTGGTTTTTCAGTTTTCTCGGTGGCTTTTTGACGCCATCTTGTTTTTATTTTATTTTCAGTAAAGTCACTTTATTTCTTTTTCTTTATTAACTACATATTTGAAATAGTGTATTTAATGTAATTCTTTTTTTTTTTTTTCTTTCTTTCTTTATATCAATTTTTTTTTTTTTTTTCAGTCCTTGATTTCTTTGCTTACCTTCCTCGGTTTCGGCCGACTTATTTTTTTCTTTTTTGGGTTATCGTTTAGTTTTCCCAGACTTCTATTATTTACTAGCTTTATTTCTTAATTTTTATTGTTTTCAGTTTTTTTATCTCATTTTAATTTTAACTGTTTTCAGGTTAATTTTCTTTTTTTTCAGTTAGTTCTCATACGTAGTTTAACCAGCTTTTTATTGTATTTCCTCTTTATTTCCCTCTTTATGCATACCAGCCTCTAGAACTGGTGTGGCTAAGCCCCCCGTTGGGTCAAGCTCTTAGCCCCCATACCCCAAAAAGCTTTCGCTCGCTGCTAGTAAAATTGTGGAGAAGGGTGTGTGGGAATGGCTGGTGACTGGTAGGGTCAGAGGGGAATGCCAGACAGCGGGGCCTCAGTCCCCTGAAGCCCCCGAGACTAAAGGCACGGACAGACCCACTCCCTCTATCAACGTTAAGGGCGACACCCCGGCTTCAAAATTGATTTCGAAGAAGGATCTACACAAAAATTATGACACAGGATGCGAAAAAGACAGATATCCAAACTAATCAAAGAAAAACTGGACAAAAAAGTCGTTCGCCTACTAAAAAGGGGGCATCTCTATCCTTGATCCTTGATATTTTTTCTTCCCCCCCCACCACCCCAGTAGAGATCACAGTCCATTCCGACTAAACCCTTCCAGCACTCCTCATCATACTCCTAGTCATTCCCCCTTTAAGTCTTGAAATGCCACCTCCCTGTAAATGACACAGAAGCCCTTCATTAGATAAAAGAAAAAAGACGTAAATATATATACAATTTAGGAGAAATGTCTACCGCATTTCCCCGGTCGAGGCGGAGAAAGCGCGAGATTATGGGGAAAGAATAAAAAAAAAAATCTTAGATACAACCTGTCAGTTAAACAGTTCGGTGATAAAAACCCACAAATGTTCCCAGACGCTCAGAGGATATTGACAGTCATAAGAACTGGGTCGGGGGCGTGGCAGACATGGGCAATTTGGTCGAAGCCATCATCTCCTTTGTTATTGTAGAAAACGAACAGTTAAAGAAACTAAAACTGTTTTATGCATGGAGAGACCCAGTTTTAGTTCACCCCTCCTTCTATAGAGCATTAAAACTGACCAATCCCTGGGATATTGGCGAACTCTCCCATGACGGTACCATAACGGTTAGGCTTTAAGAATATTGAGATTACTGGTTTGAACAATGGCAACCCCGCCCATAACAGGTTAGACTATGTTGTTTTTTTCATTAGTTTTTTTCTCGTTAGGCAAGTTAACTTAGTATGCTCATCGGCCCCTTTATTTCTGCCCCTATTTTTTTATTTTGTTTAATTTCCCACGCCACCTATCGTTAGGTGGATAGTGATATCAGTTCTCTGGTGGGTGCGGACGCTTTTTCATTTCGGGTGTGATTTTCGTAACTGTTGTTGCGTTTGAATGAGTGTGTGTATTTGAGTGAGGCGAAAGAACAGCAAAAGCAGCCTACACAAAACAAAGGCAGCAGCAGCAGCAGCAGACGGTGTCGCAAGTGAACCAGTGAACAGAGAAGCTGCAAAAACAGCAAAGACACCAGCAGTCGGAGTAGTCGCAGTAAAAGCAGTCTGAATGGAAGCAGCAGAAGGAGTCAACTACTGTAGAGCAGGAGCAGGTTGCATGTCACCATCAAGCTCTGTTCTGGATTTATGCATGTTGGTGGAAGAAATGCCTCCACCTCGGTACACCTCACTGAAAAGAGGAGGACCGAGGTGGAGGCATTTCATAAAGATAGATAGAAACGTCGGACGAAGTAGAGCGGAGAATGACTTTATTATAGCTAAAACAATCCACCCCTACTTCGTAATCCAGCGATGATACCGGACTTTTGCCAGGTAAAGCAAAGAGCTTCCCTTCCTTCCCTTCTAGGGCTACGTCTTCCTCCCCTTCGCCTAGCCCTGGTCAAGAAAAGAGGAGAGGAAAAAAGAAGGAAAAAGACTGTTCCCGGAGGAGGGGAAACTGTGTGTTTTCAACAAGCAGGCCCTCGAGAGGGACCTTTCTTCTCAGCAGAAGGTCCTCTTGAGGCCATCGTACTGAAGCCACGGAAGACCTCCGAAACTTTCCCAAGGCCCGAGAGTGATCTCACTCACAAGGAATACTGGGGTAAGGTGTGGGATTACTTGACCGAGGTGAAGAGTGCTTTCCCAGGCATCAGGATCGTACAGCTGGAGTCAATTTTCCATCCCTCTTTATATAGGACAATAAAACTAACTTTCCCATTGGCGGTATTGTCTCTAACGGTCGAATTACGACCGATATTGGAACTGGCAGCATGGGACAACCTGTCGGGGTACCGACTCCCATAGATTTCCGTCCAGTCTACATTTAAGGGATCGCCTAAAAAACAACTTAAAAGATGTCTATTAAGCTAGGGTGAGGAGTGGCCGATATTGCCGCGAGCAGTGGTTAGTTTCGGGTCGTTGCGGTTTATGCGCCCAACGATCAGGAGAAGCGTGTCGACTTTTTCCGTCGGTTGGGGCTGTTCCTGGTTCGCACTTAATGGAGGACTGGAATGCTGTCATGGACCCCATGATAGACTGGTAGGTAGCGGGAAGGCATCAAGCGATCGTAGCTTAGTTTATCTGATCGGATAGTCGATCATCCGAAGGGGGAGATGTGAACGTGGGCTCATAATTGGCCGTCTCTCCTGGTAGCCAGCTACCTGGACAGAATGTTATTGAGAAGGGTCGACCTAAATTTACTAAATTGTCCCGCGTTGCACCCTTTAAAGAAGCCTCTTACCAGCGTCCGTGTCATGGGGGCTGGGATTGCCACACCTGGCGAGTCATCGCCGCGCCTCTAGGATGGCTTTCCTACGAATCGTTTTGATGGAGGACTCGATTTTGGCGCGTAGTGTTAGGGACGCCTTCCCTAGAATTACTCCTTCCATTTATTGGATTAAGTGCCGTCGCGATCGTGGAAGGTTGTCGAGTTTCCTAAGCGAGTGTCGTCGGCTTTGAAGGTCATTCCTCGGTCCAGTGACCTTTCTTAGTCACGGAGATTATTGTATCTTAAATTAGTGGAGGGGGTTGCGAAGGATCATCTGTGTGACTGGTTGATTTCCTCGTTGCAAGCAGCGGATTATCTCAGCAACTGAGTTTTCGCTTAGCTAGCGACTGATTCAGAACGAGCTACCTCCCAATGATATACTCCTCAGATGGGGCGAGGCAGATTTGCCAGACTATCATCGATGTAACCTTGGCTTAGAGGAAACGGCTTCGCACGCCTTTTACCTCTGTCCCAGGTGCGCCCTTTCCGTGATTATGTCGGCGAGTTGACGCTAGTATCGCTCCCGATCGGCTCGTCCCCATCGATCACCTGTGTTGACCTCGTTCTCCTGGTTAAAACGGATGATGCTTTTTACGTTGCTAGCCGTGGCAAAATTGGTGGTGTGGACGACGCGAAAGGAGGGAATCTTGTAGGATGAACGTTATTTGCATCAGGATATGGTTGTTTTCTTTAAGCATCAGCTTAGGATAAAAGTCAGATCGGATCGAAAGCGTTTGATTTCGGCTACAGGTAGGTGACTGAGGCAAGTCTGATTCGTGAGGACGGGGTTAGTCTTGATTTTCTCTTTTAAGCCTCCTTAAGTGCAAGGGGGCGTTTTCCTGCCAACCATCCCCTGGTTAATTTAGACACTATTTTGTTTTCTTAGTTAATGTGAATGTTTTCTTCCAGACCTGTTCCCGGCAATCTCTTTTGTCATTAT